CCTCTATAAACATGTACATCCTGAAGTCTACTCAACAGTCTTTTATTTACCAATACATAATCCAACAAACTACTGTCATTTCGCCCTATATCATATCTTGTATACTTATTTATCCTCTTTTTCCTAAATATGTATTACCTATAACTAAACCCCTTTCTATACAAAGTTCAATCAAAGGGCTCCCATTATCATTTACACCTGGCACCCCCAAACTTACCTACCACACCCTCTCTAAAAGTTTCTCCTACTTTAGCATTCAGGTCCCCTACCACAATTACTCTCTCACTTGGTTCAAAGGCTCCTATACATTCACTTAACATCTCCCAAAATCTCTCTCTCTCCTCTACATTCCTCTCTTCTCCAGGTGCATACACGCTTATTATGACCCACTTTTCGCATCCAACCTTTACTTTAATCCACATAATTCTTGAATTTACACATTCATATTCTCTTTTCTCCTTCCATAACTGATCCTTCAACATTACTGCTACCCCTTCGTTTGCTCCAACTCTCTCAGATACTCCAGATTTAATCCCATTTATTTCCCTCCACCGAAACTCCCCTACCCCCTTCAGCTTTGTTTCGCTTAGGGCCAGGACATCCAACTTCTTTTCATTCATAACATCAGCAATCATCTGTTTCTTGTCATCCGCACTACATCCACGCACATTCAAGCATCCCAGTTTTATAAAGTTTTTCTTCTTCTCTTTTTTAGTAAATGTCTACAGGAGAAGGGGTTAATACTTTTGGGTGTCTGGAATGGATTAATTGGATTTACACAAAGATACTCTTACCTCTTATCCCAGTTTGGGTTTAGGAAAAAAAAAAAAAAAAAAAAAAAAAAAAAATTGATGCAGTTATTCAGATGCTTGAAATCATTACTATATACAACAATTGAAAAAATGAATATCCTCTCGGGCTCTTCATAGACCCATGGAAAGCATTTGATACAGCAGACCACAATATCTTGCACCTAAAACTAGAGCTTTACATGGTCAGAGGACACTCTCTCCATTACCTAAAATCTTATCTTAGTGGTAGACACCAGTATGTATACACAAATGGCGTGACCTCCAATACTCAGCCTGTAGTTGTTTGAGTGCCACAGGGAAGTGTCCTAGGTCCTCTACTCTTTCTTATTTACATCAATGACCTCCCAAATGCATTGCTACTCCTTAAACCAGTTTTATTCGCAGAGGACACTACCCAAACCCGGCTATACTTAGTAACTCTGTAAACAGCGAGCATCATAAAATATCAAACTGGATGACGACCAACAAACTTACTCTCAATATAGACATTACCTACTTCATGTGTTTTGGAAACGGAGCATTAAATATCCAGTTAAACATATCGATGAATGGTTCACCCATTACAAGACACAATGAGGGCAAATTTCTAGGTCTCCACCTTGACCCACATCCAGCATATAACTAAGAAAGTTTCCAAAACAGTATGGTTTCCTTTCCAAGATATGATACTTTGTACTCCAAAGGGATCTCCTTACTTTATATTCCATTACCTCACCTATGGCATTTGTGCTTGGGGATCTACCATGGCCAATCACCTTAAACCTTTAATAACCCAACAAAAAGCAGCAGTGCGGATAATCACAAACTCCAGCGCCAGACAACACACCCCACCACTCTTCAAACGCTTGAACTTACTTAATATACAATTTTTGTTTTTTTGTTTGTTTTTTTAACAAGTCGCCTGTTTCCCACCGGGGCAGGTTGACCCAAAAAGAAAGAAAATACCCAAAAAGAAAATACTTTCATTATCATTCAACACTTTCACCTCATTCACACACAATCACTGTCTTTGCAGAGGCACCTAGATACAACAGTTTAGAAGCATATACAGTGGACCCCCAGATTATGTAATTAATCCATTCCAGAGATAGTGCTTATCCTGAATCTGACTTATTCCGAATTAATTTTCCCAACGAGAAATAATGGAAATCCAATTAATGTTTCAGGCACCCAAAAGTATTTAAAAAAATGTTTTCTACATGAAATATACATTTACCTACACAGAAAACAATGATACATGAAGAATAAAACAATAATAACATCACACTTATCTTTATTGAAGACATGGTGATGTATGGAAGATGGGAGAGGATGGAGGAGTTTACAATTGTTTGGAAGGGGAATCCCATTCCACAAAGGCATCAGGTACCAAGTCCTTATCCTGGGTTACTTTCCTTCCTTGTTTTTTAATGCCACTAGGACCAGCTTGAGAGTCACTGGACCCCTGTCGCTCAAAAAAGTGTTCCAGAGAGGTCTGTTTCTAGCATATGTTAGGAATTGTGTTGGGAGATAGGACAAGATAGTCCTTCAATATGACACTAATATCAGCTCTATGGCTTATTTATCTAGCACAATTCATCTAATATGACAAACAATATTAATAACATAGAAACATGACATATACTCTAGAATGAATAAAATATGGCATAAAGAATGTCACGAGTGGTGGTGTGTTGTTTGTTGTTGGGTGTATAAGGGCCACTGAAAAATAAGCCTTACACAGTGGTGGTGAAGGCGGCAGCAGAGGCGGCAGTGTTAGTCAGTAGCCCCATATACCTCCAACAACAATGGAGGAGTCAGTTTCGTGCTGTCCTTTTTCTATTGATTAATCGTTTAACTTACTTGCTACACTGTTAATGCTACACTTTATCACTAGCTGGCGCTATAGCCTTTATCAACTCCTGCTGCTTTAGTATTGTACATATTGCAGAATCGCTGAAAAAGGCACATTCTCTCCTCTCTCTCAGCCCCTTACGAAAGGGCTGGCTGGCACTAGAAGCTTTCTTTGGGCCCATGGTGGCTTATTTAACAGTTATAAGCACTAAAAAGAATGGAATAATACAAAATGTATCATATGAATGTATGGGATCGTCCTCACTGGCTGGTAAACAATGGCACACTAGCTGTACATGGAGTGTCGGGGCCGCTCAGGTCACGCAGACACGTTCTGGACAAATGACTTATACCGAGGTCAGTGACGTTCACCGAGCCAACATTTTAACGAAAAAATGTTACTTATTCCGAGTATAACTTATTCCGGGGGTCTACTGTATAAAGATACATAACATACTCCTCCAAACTGCCAAAATCCCAAACCTCCCTCCTATAAAGTGCAGGCATTGCACTTCCCATTTCCAGTACTCAAGTCCGGCTATATAAAAACAACCAGTTTCCCTGATTTTTTTTTTTTTTTTTTTAACAAGTCAGACATCTCCCACCGAAGCAGGGTGACCCCCCCCCCCCAAAAAAAAAAAAAAATCCCCCAAAAAGAAAATACTTTCTCATCATTCAACACTTTCACCTCACTCACGCATAATTAATGTTTTTGCAGAGGTGCCCAGAATACAACAGTTTAGAAGCATATACGTATAAAGATACACAACATATCCCTGCAAACTACCAATATCCCAAACCCTTCCTTTGAAGTGCAGGCACTGCACTTCCTATTTCCAGGACTCAAGTCCAGCTATATAAAAATAACCAATTTCCTCGAATCCCTTCACTAAATATTCAATGAGGTTGGTTGTTGGTGTCATCAAGGTCATCAAGTCAAGCACTATAACGGTAATTTCCCTGAATCCCTTCACTAAATATTACCCTGCTCACACTCCAGCTCGTCAGGTCCCAAAAACCATTCGTCTCCATTCACTCCTATTTAACATGCTCACAGATGCTTGCTGGAAGTCCAAGCCCCTCGCCCACAAAACCTCCTTTACCCCCTCCCTCCAACCTTTTCTAGGACGATCCCTACCCCACCTTCCTTCCCCTATAGATTTATACGCTTTCCAAGTCATTCTACTTTGATCCATTCTCTCGACTGTGCCTACTACATATATATACAGAACATTAAACTCCAATGTCAACCCTCCACTCAAACTTCTAAACAGCTTCAACAGAACACACAGGCATGACACAAGGCACAAAACACTTTTTGAACATCTCGTGTCCGTCTCACACTATGCAAAAATGCAATGCACATAAAGGGCCCGAAGATCAGAAAACTCTGCCTGAAACAGCAAGAAGTCCCCTGCCCACAAATCAATTTAGGACTATACTCAAAAATCATCTCATCTCTCAATAACAACCATAGCCACAATATGCTAAACTCTAACCAAATTTAAAGCAACTCTCCCAAATATTTTATTATCCCTTAAAAATGTATGTTTTTATTATTAATTGTACTACCTCATATTAATAGAATAAACAAACTTAACTACAAATTTAAAAATGTTTTTATCATATACTGTACTACCTCATATTAATAACAAGAGTAAATTATTGAATATTTGTACTTACCACTCTTAACCTGTCTAGACTTAAGTAGTCCAAGTATTAGGTTAAGTCTGCCTGAAATGCCTTGGCATGATGGTGGCTTTCTTTGTACCAATCAAATTATGAAATGTAAACACACACTGTAACCTTAGCAAAGAAATAAAATTTTATTTATTTATTTCATGGTAGTATGTCATTGATGTCAGGTAGGCCTGTATGCCACGTACATGTACTTGTAGCAAATAAAGATTTTTTTTTTTTTTTTTTTTTTCAACAAGTCGGCCGTCTCCCACCGAGGCAGGGTGACCCAAAAAAGAAAGAAAATCCCCAAAAAGAAAATACTTTCATCATCATTCAACACTTTCACCACACTCGCACATTATCACTGCTTTTGCAGAGGTGCTCAGAATACAACAGTCTAGAAGCATACACATATAAAGATACACAACATATCCCAAAGAGTTATGAGGTCAAAAATGGAAATATAAACACTTAAGTAGTATAATGTGATCCTTTATTGACAATGTTTCGTCCACGCAGTGGGCTTTATCAAGTCACAAACAGATCTGTCTGTGACTTGATAAAGCCCACTGCATGGGCGAAACGTTATCAATAAAGGATCACACTACAAGTGTTTATATTTCCATTGTGTTGGTATTTTATACCATTTATTTCCAGGAGGTCAAAAATACTGACAGGTGGAAGATCTGAAGGTATGAAAAATTGTGTGTACTAATACATCGGGCACACTGTCATCAGTTGCATACTAGTATGTCGGACATAGTTTAAAGGTTAATTAGCTAGTGAGCCAATGCCCTACTCACCTGTGGTCAAGCTGAAGCAAGCTCCATGCCATGGACACCGAATTTTGCCATCACAGACGGATCCCTTCTCTAGAGGAGCTCCATAATGAGAACATGTGGTACCTAGTGCCATTAGCTGTCCTTTATGATGTACTACCAGCACCTTCCCACCCTCTACTTCAAATGTTTTCATCCTGCAAAAAAATTTTTTTCCTTTATTGTATAATAAAGCAGATGCAATAACCCACACTGCAAGTAGTACCAACTGATTCAAAAGTATAATATAAAGCTTCAGCTATAATAAAAAAAATTAAGCTTTAGAATTTTTTTTTTTTTTTTTTTAACACTGCCATATCCCAACAAGGCAGGGTGACCTAAAAAGAAAGTTTTTGTTCTTAAATTTAGTATTTTATGCAGAAGGTTTTTTTTTTGTTCAACAAGTCGGCCGTCTCCCACTGAGACAGGGTGACCCAAAAAAAAAAGAAAATCCCCAAAAACAAAATACTTTCATCATCATTCAACACTTTCACCTCGCTCATACACAATCACTGTTTTTGCAGAGGCGCCCAGATACAACAGTTTAGAAGCATATATAAAGATACATATATACCATATCCCTCCAAACTGCCAATATCCCAAACCCTTCCTTTAAAGTGCAGGCATTGTACTTCCCATTTCCAGTACTCAAGTCTGGCTATATAAAAATAACCAGTTTCCCTGAATCCCTTCACTAAATACTATTACCCTGCTCACACTCAAACAGCTCGTCAGTCCCAAAAACAATTTGTCTCCATTCACTAACACGCTCACGCATGCTTGCTGGAAGTCCAAGCCCCTCACCCACAAAGCCTCCTTTACCCCCTCCTTCCAACCTTTTCGAGGATGACCCCTACCCTCCCTTCCTTCTCATACAGATTTACACTCTCTATGTCATTCTACTTTGATCCATTCTCTCTAAATGTCCAAACCACCTCAACCTCTCTTCAGCCCTCTGACTAATACTTTTATTAACTCCACACCTCCTAATTACCACACTCCGAATTTTCTGCATAATATTTATACCACACATTGCCCTTAGACAGGACATCTCCACTGCCTCCAACTACCTCCTTGTTGCAGCATTTACAACCCAAGCTTCATACCTATGTAAGCATTGATACCACTATACTTTGATACACTCCTTTCTTTATCTCCATAGATAATGTTATCAATACAATTATATAGATATATGTATATTTAAAATTTATGTTTCATCTATTGCAAGCAAATTTAGTACATTTGCTTAAAATGTCTGTTTCCTAATTTTCACTTATAAGATGCCTTGGTATATCATGTAAGTTATTATACTATCTCTAACTCTCAATAAGTGAACAATCAAGCACAGTGTAGGGGTACATTGTCTAAAAATTACTTTAATAAAGCAATCTCTGATATACAAATATTAATAAGCAATTTAAATCTTAACAAATGACTTCCTAGCAAACTTTTTTTTTCGCAATGATCACAAGTAGAAAAGTATATAACAAATTATATTTGAAGAAAATGGATGGGAATTTTGCACTTACTTATTCCCAAAAACTTTTGATAATGATCTCCAACAAATGCTAATTAAAACCTATAAAGGGTAAGATGAATTACAGGTATATTACAGTATTTAATTAGATGAGAAACATTATATTTCAAAATATATAATACAAACAGTTGAGGAAAATTCTCATCAAATAGTAACAATAATGGACTACCACATTATTATTATAATCAAAACCTAGCACTGGGGTCATATAGCACTGCAATGAACTACCACAAAGCTCAGTCTTGATCCCATTAATGTTTTTAATTTACATGACTTAGCATATAATAATAATAATAAATTTATTTTGACATGCTACATGGTTGTACAAAGGAATATAATAGTTGAGTGTACATGCCAAAAGCCCTTTGTATGCAGAGCATTTCAGACAAATTAAAATTAACTTAAGATTAATAAGGCTATAATAGATTAAATGGTCATTAAATGAGTTACAGTGAGTACAAGAGAACTGAGTATTAATAGATAATACTCGGTTCTCTTGTACTCACTGAAAACGACCTTGAAATTGGGCTCAAAGTAGCGGAAATGTTCAATTTTTAATAAGTCTAATAGAGAAGTTTAGTAGAGAATAATTGCAGGTTTGAATTATTTTATAAAAATTACAGTACATATTACAATAGAACAATTTAAGCAATTTACAATATGAAATATAAGAAGTGAATATTTAAAACGATGAAATTTGAACATTATAATTTTTGAAGTATTACAACAGAACAATTTAAACAATTTACAAAATGAATTATTACAATTTAGTATTCAAAACAATGAAATCTGAACATTGTAATTTTGAAGTAATGGGTACATGGTTGAGCAATCTTCAGCACAATCATCTATATTAAAATTGAGAAATCATTAGTACTATTTTGTGTAGCTTTTGAGTAACTGGTAGGTATTAAGTACAGTTTGTCTGGTTAATTTTGGGTGATGAGAGGAATCAGGAGGCAGGAATCCTTTAGCGTGTTCTGGTAATGAATTCCAGATCTTTGGGCCCTTTACGTGCATAGCATTTCTGCACAGGGAGAGATGGACACGAGGGATATCAAAGAGTAATTTGAGTCTTGTATTAAGGTTGTGTGTTCTGTTGTAGTTATCAAGTAGAAGTTTGAGAGGAAAGTTTATATTTGAGTGTAGTGTTCTGTATATGTAGTAGGCACAATAATAAGTGTGGATGTTTTGTATATTAAGTTAAGACTCTCGAAAAGCAGAGAAGTATGCTGTCTATTACAGGAGTTCGTAATCAATCACACTGCAGCTTTTTGTTGGGTTATTAAAGGTTTAGGTGATTTGCTGTGGTTGAGCCCCATTCACAAATACCATAGGTGAGGTAAGGGTAGATAAGAGAGTGGTATAGTGCAAGAAGAGCTGATTGGGGTACATAGTACAGTATCTCTGAGAGGATACCTACTGTTTTGAAGACTTTCTTGGAAATTTGCTGTATGTGGGTCTGGAATTTGAGATTGCAGTCTAGGTGGAGACCTAGAAATTCACTCTTGGTGTATCTAGAAATGGGTAAACCATTTATCTGTATGTTTAGCTGTACATTTGTAGCTCTGTTTCCAAATAGCATAAAATAGGTTTTGTCTATATTGAGAGTAAGTTTGTTGGTGGTTATCCAAGTAGATATATTTAGTAGTTCAGAATTTACAGTGTCTGTTAGTATGGTTGGGTTTGGGTGAGAGAAGACATTAGTGTCATCTGCAAATAAAATGGGTTTGAGAAGTTTAGATGCAGTTGGGAGGTCATTAACCCTCTGACTGTTTACGTCGTATATATACGTCTTACATGCCACTGTTTCTGACATATTTATACGCGTAAATTCTAGTGGCTTCAAATCAAGCAGGAGAAAGCTGGTAGGCCCACATGTGAGAGAATGTGTCTGTGTGGTCAGTGTGCACCACATAAAAAAAATCCTGCAGCACGCAGTGCGTAATGAGAAAAAAAAACTGACTTTTTTTGGATTAAAATGCCGACTTTGAGGTGTATTTTCGTACAGTATTTATCGTTGTATTCCCATTTTCATGGTCTCAGGTGATAAAATGGAAAACATATTATAGAAATAGAGATGATTTTCATTACTTTCATGATGAAAACGACCTTGAAATTGAGCTCAAAGTAGCGGAAATGCTCGATTTTTACCAACGTTCAGGAGTAAGCAAATTACACCACACGTCCAATACACGTCAACTGAGGAGTCTAATATTCTTTCACTAGTGCACTGATATTATTTATATCATTTTCACAATAATGCATTAGTCTGCATATCAGTAAATTTTTTATTTTTTTGTATGAATAAAAAATCAAAATAGAAAGCAATAGTAATATAAGAGGGGCCTAGAGACGTGACTAATGAACAGAGGATATGTTATTTCAGTGCCAAGAATGTCTACATTGTTTATTCTGGACCCTATTTTGAAATTGGCATTTTTTTTAATTTGCGTGAAATTGGCCAAATTGCCAATTTCTGACCACTTTATTGGGTAGTTCATATCGGTAAATGGGCATTTTCTTGTACTCAACTGATAGAAAAAATGGAGTTCTAAAGAAGTAGCTATGAGTTTGGTCAACTGGAACAATGGAATTGGCCAAAAACAGGGCCCAATGTCAGCGAAATTGCTGATGCGTATATGTCGTTGAGACCACTAACTTCGCGGGAGCGTAATTCCGCGAGTTTTTGACCAAATTTCGTACTTTTGGTGTCATTACCATTGGGAAAAGATTCTCTATCATTTCATAAGAAAAAAAATTTTTTTTTACAAAACTTTTGCGACATAGTATGACAGTTTCAGAAAGGGGCTTGCGACAGTCAAAGGGTTAATGTAAATGAGAAAGAAGTGGGCCAAGGACACTCCTCTGAGAGATTCCAACAAGAACTGGTTGTGTAGTAGAGTTAGCTCCATTTGTGTATACATATTGAGTTCTATTGCTAAGATAAGATTTTTAGGTAATCGAGAGTGTCCTCTGACCCCATAATGTTCAAATTTTTGGTGCCATAGGTCATGGTCAGCTGTATCAAAAGCTTTTCGTAAGTCTATGAAAAGTCCCAAGGAAAATTAATTTTTTCGAGTGCCAAATATATTAGCTCAAACATACTATGTATAATTGCATCATTAGTACTTTATGGTCCGAATTAAAATTGACAGGGGTCGAGTATGTTTTGGGATACTACATAGGAGTAGACTAGTTTGTGAATTAATTTTTCGAAGATTTTGGATAATAAGGACAAGTTTGATATAGGCCTATAATTGTTCAGCTCAGTTGGATCACCTCCTTTGAGAATTGGGGTGACCCTTGCTGTCTTGAGTATGGATGGGAAGGTGGAAGATTCAATGGATTTGTTAAACAGCTACAATAATTGGTGACAACACATAAGAAGCTTTTTTATACACGAGAGGTGGTAAGTTACTTAGGTCACCTGTCTTGGTCTTTAGTGTTTTGATGATGAGCGAGACTTCAGTAGGATTTGTTAGTGAGAAACTACATGAATATTAGTACAAAGTAAAAAAATCAAGAAGATAAATATCACAATGGAAATAGGAAACAAATGAATGGGAAAATAATAAATATCAAATACGTCCTCTCCTGCAATGGTTGTCCCCTTGACTTGAGATCGACTGGCTGTTCATGATGCTAAACAGGCCAGAAATTTATGCTTTTAATGCAATAGCCACAACTGCTGTTAGGAAGTTATGTGCCCTAACATTAACCCTTTGACTGTTGCAAGCCCTTTCTGAAACTGTCATTCTATGTTGCAAAATTTTTGGAAAAAAAAACAAAAAAAATTATTTTTTCTTATGAAATGATAGAGAATCTTTTCCCGATGGTAATGATACCAAAAGTATGAAATTTGGTTGAAAACTCACGGAATTACACTCCCGTGAAGTTAGTGGTCTCGGCGACATATACGCATCAGCGATTTCACCGACTTTGAGCCCTGTTTTTGGCCAATTCCATTGTTCCAATTGACCATTTACCCATTTACCAATTTGAACTACCCAATAAGTGGTCAGAAATTTTAAATTTGGCCAATTTCATGCAAATTAAAAAAGATGCCAATTTCAAAATAGGGTCCAGAATAAACAATGTAGACATTCTTGGCACTAAAATAACATATCCTCTGTTCATTAGTCACGTCTCTAGGCCCCTCTTATATTACTACTGCTTTCTATTTTGATTTTTTATTCATACAAAAAAATACAAAATTTACTGATATTGTAAAAATGGTATAAATAATATCAGTGCACTAGTGAAAGAATATTAGACTCCCCAGTTGACGTGTATTGGACGTGTGGTGTGATTTGCTTACTCTTGAACGTTGGTAAAAATCGAACATTTCCGCTACTTTGAGCTTAATTTCAAGGTCATTTTCATCGTGAAACTAATCAAAATCATCTCTATTTCTGTAATATGTTTTCCATTTTATCACCTCAGACCATGAAAACGAGAATACAACGATAAATACTGTAAGAAATGGTCATTTTTATTTTCTCATTATGCACTGTGTGCTGCAGGAGTTTTTTATGTGGTGCACACTGACCACACAGACCCATTCTCTCACATGTGGGCCTACCAGCTTTCTCCTGCTTGATTTGAATCCACTAGAATTTATGCGTATTAATATGTCTGAAACACTGGCTCGTAAGACGTATATATACAACTAAAACAGTCAAAGGGTTAATGAACATCGCCAGAAGGTCAGACAATTCTCCAACTACATGTTAATCAATTCAGTATATTAGAAATTTCTTTTTATAAATTAAAATCAATTCCTTAGTCACTGATGCTGACAAGAATCCAAATGAGCTAAATATAAAATACGTACTACTAAGAGACTTACCCCTCCTCCGGCAACTCATCTGCCCGACAGACAACTGCTTCTATCATATCCTCGGCTATGCTGGCTTTGCTCTGACTGCTTATCCTGGTGTCTGTTGAAAAGAGAACATTTTGAGACTATAAAAGAAAAATCAATATGCAATAAAAGATTATTTAGTAATGAAACATAAGAATTTATTCAACTGCTGCAAACATTCAGTTCACAAGGAGACAATCAGGCATGGTTAAAAAAAACAAAAAAAAACTAATACAGCCTCTCCTCAACTAGCAATGGAGTATCATTCCTCAGACCATGTTGGTAAACGAATTCGTCTCTAAGCAAGGAGCATACTATAATGGTAGTAGGTTTGTGTCAACCATCTTTGACAGTTTTAATGTCACCTTTGCACCATTTATAACATTTTTAGTATATTTTAAATATTTATACAGTAGTGTACTCTATATTGTAATAAACATAACAGAGGAAGTCAGCTCTAATATACATAATTTTGATATGCATACTGGTCAGAGAGCTCGTCATAAGTCCGGGTAGTCAGCAAACAAGAATGTCGTTATGTGAGGAGAGGCTGTATAGTACTTCATTTTCCTTAAATCTGCCAGTTATATTAAGCTTTAACTGAATGTTATGTAACAATAATACATGTACAGTGAACCCCCGGTTAACGATATTTTTTCATTCCAGAAGTATGTCCAGGTGCCAGTACTGACCGAATTTGTTCCCATAAGGAATATTGTGAAGTAGATTAGTCCATTTCAGACCCCCAAACATACACGTACAAACGCACTTACATAAATACACTTACATAATTGGTCGCATTGGGAAGTGATCGTTAAGCGGGGGTCCACTGTATATGATTTGTCAAGACATAAAATGCTCTGGAAAAAATAAATCATATCAATTGCATACTATGGTTTTCCATAAAATTTTAACACTTGTGTATAAGGATTTTTAAAAATATTACTGACCAACTAGGCAAATACAAATAGAGTGGTACCTCGAATTTCGAACAGCTCCCAACTCAAACAACGATGCAAGTGTATTTTTGTAAGTGTATTTTTGGGGGTCTGAAATGGACTAATCTAATTTGCATTATTCCTTATGGGAACAAATTCGTTCAGTAACTGCACTCGAACAGCCCTCTGAAACGAATTAAGGCTGAAATTCGAGGTACCACTGTACAATGGTACCTCAGGATACGACCTGCTCAAAACTCGAACAATTATGTAAGTGTATGTATGTAAGTGCTTTTGTATGTGCATTTTTGGGAGTCTGAAATGGATTAATCTGATTTACATTATTCTTTATGGGAAAAAATTCATTCGGTATTGGCACTCAAACAGCCTTCTGGAATGAATTAAGTTCGTATCCCGAGGTACCACTGTACAAAGTATGTCTCTTGCACTCAGCAGATGGAGAATCTAGCCTCCAACATGTCTTGCACTGAATGACGACGACGAATACGACCAGAGCTGCTGTAAGATGGGGATGGGTAAGGATGGAAAAGAAGGGAAGGGAGGAGAAGAAAGGAAGAAAGGCAAGTGGCCCAACCACTTTGGTGCAAGCGGTACAAATGTATTGCAGGCTTGGATGGAGAAGGGTGGAGGATGTCGGTACTCGGCTCCTAAGGAGGGGATGGCAAAGGCGGCAGCAAAAGAGTCAGGAAAGTTCAAGAAGTCAGCAGTCAGGACAATCTGTACAGTGAATGAGTGGTGGGAGGCTTGTTAAATTATTAACCCAGTGGAGAGAGATGAACTTTGATCTTGGGAGATGGCTTAGTCTAAACGGGACATGGATTATTTTGGCAATGGTGGTAACGTGTGCAGCAGTACAGGTGAACTTAGTCCCATCGTCGAGAAAGCGGGCGAGTTCCCAGGCAATCAGTACGTTCAGGAACTGTCGAGAGGTGAAGAGAGTGATTCCAGTCAAGGCAGAGGCAGGCGAAGTCACTGATTTGACCATGGCAGTGATGTTGGAAGGCGAGGACAGTGATTTGTTCTTGGCAGAGGTGGCGGCAGGCAGCTGAGACAATTTCTCATTGGTGGGGGTTGGTGGAGGCACAACGGGCAGAGAGGGCTCTGATTGCTTCCTGGGAGTGGTTGTGGCTTGAGGAGGTGGTCGTCTCTCATTGATGGATTTCAAAGTAGAGCAGGTGGCATCTGCAGATAACCTATCTTGCAAGTCATCTGGTGCCTCGATGCTGACGATTTTCAGAATCACAGTGGAACCTCTACTTACGAGTTTAATCCATTCCATGACCTTGCTCGCATCTGGATTTGCTCATTTGCCAAGTCAATTTTCCTCATTTAAATTAATTGAAATGGAATTAATCCGTTCCTGTGGAATTCCAGGCACGACAAACTACTTCAACTCTACGGCTTATTTATCTATCAGAATTCATCTAAGATAACATAATAAACAATATTAATAACAGAAACATGATATATACACAAGAATGAATAAAATACATGACATTAAGTATGTGGCTAGTGGTGGTGACAACTGCCATTGTTGTTACCAGGGTACAACAAGGTGGTTTTCAAGGTACAAGGTCTGCCACTGCTGCTCCATGTTGTCTGCCACTGCTGCTTCACGTTGTCTGCCACTGTTGCTTCATGAGGTTTGCCACTGCTGCTTCATGATGTCTGCCACTGCTGCTCCATGTTGTCTGCCACTGCTGCTTTCACGTTGTCTGCCACTGCTGCTTTCACGTTGTCTGCCACTGCTGCTTTCACGTTGTCTGCCACTGCTGCTTTCATGTTGTCTGCCACTGCTGCTTTCACGTTGTCTGCCACTGCTGCTTTCACGTTGTCTGCCACTGCTGCTTTCACGTTGTCTGCCACTGCTGCTTTCACGTTGTCTGCCACTGCTGCTTTCACGTTGTCTGCCACTGCTGCTTTCACGTTGTCTGCCACTGCTGCTTTCACGTTGTCTGCCACTGCTGCTTTCACGTTGTCTGCCACTGCTGCTTTCACGTTGTCTGCCACTGCTGCTTTCACGTTGTCTGCCACTGCTGCTTTCACGTTGTCTGCCACTGCTGCTTTCACGTTGTCTGCCACTGCTGCTTTCACATTGTCTGCCACTGTTACCTCATGATGTCTGCTCCCACTTTTGCTAGCATGCTGAAGAGTTTTCCAATATGTGAAGGTCGAGGAGCAGTGCCACTCGGACAGGTTTTGGATGACGATATTCGTTTACTCTTGAACATCACCAAAGAATCAAACATTTCTACTACTTTGAGCTCAATTTCAAGGTACTTTTCATCGTGAAACCAATCAAAATCATATCTATTTCTATAGTATATCTTCCATTCTATCAAATGAGACCATAAAAATGAGAATACAACCATAAAAACAATACAAAAATATACCGCTAAAGGAAGGATAGTGGCTGAGAAGTGAACTCTGTTATTTATGGTCCAATTTCTTTCATTTTGGTGTACATTAAGAAGCATCTTTTCATGATACATTGCCCAAGTTTCAATAAGATAGTCCAACAAACAACTGAGGTCAAATTCCTTAGATCTAGAGCAAGAGCCCCTCACCTCCCTTGAGGTCCGCTCGCATCTGGAAATTTTGCGTGCGTCTGGATGCAAGAAATCGACCGAGCAACTGCTCGTATCTGGAAAAACTCACACGTGGATGCACTCGTAAGTAGAGGTTCCACTGTATCTTCAAAATATCAGCTGAAGGACTAGCTAGGAAGTTGAATGATGGCATATTGTTGAGAGCAAGAATTTCATTCATAGATGTGTGGAAAGAACCTGGGGTTTGAAAAATTTTGCATGTGTGCATACATCATGCAGTAGTAAAATTTTGTTGAGATATCGTCTGGTAGAGGAGAGGCGGTGGGTGGTGGAGGCTGCTGAGTGGCTTGTAGAATCTTTGTGGTGGTCGACTGCAGCTTAGCTATAGCAGCATAAGTAAGAAAGTTCCCTGTAGTCGTCTTAAGGTCTTCCTTTAGTTTCTTTGAAAGGATCTCCTTACAAACAGGACATCTGGCTGCAAGAGTATGGTGGTCACTCTTACAGTTGATGCAGGTGGGAGCAGCAGTAGAGGTGTAGGAACGAAAGTCATGACCTTCGGACCCACAGATGGAACAGATTGTCTTGTTCTTCACATGGCAGTTGGTAGTTGAATGATTGTAGGAGTAGCATGTCCAACAACGTGTTATTTGGCTGAAGCATTCCGATTCAATTTGTCAAAGGTCGATGGAAGTAGTAGGAGATGGCCAGGCCATCAGACAGTGCTCTTGTCGCTATGGTGACATCCAGAAACGTGATCTTGAGCATCAAGGAAGTGTTGGGGATCTTCACAACGGAGTCAATCTTGGCCCAGGTGTTGAGTTCTTCAAGTGATGACAATGTCCTCAGTAGACATGTTCGTGAGTAGCCTATCAAGGTGTTTCACGAACACAGACCGTTTAGCTAGCATGTAAGGCGAGGTGGAGATGGTAAAGCCACGGTCGTCTAAAATCTTCATCGTAGTAAGTGTAAGTACAGTACTTTGTCAGCTTCATCATCAAAAAACATGATGAAAGCTTCTTTCAGAGAAGTAATGTTCGAGAACTTGGCTTGCAGACAGGTGTTGAGAAAGAATGCAAGTTCAAGCTTCGTGGTGTCACTGATGACATCAGTCTTAGGTTTAATCCTCACACGATGAGACATCGTGGAGGTGGTAGAGGTTCCCCTCCCCAACGAGGATTGTAGGGAGACTGGTTGACAAGAGAAGGAGCGTCTGTGACCCTACAGGATGAAGTCTACAAAGCGAATCTGTACTGAATGATCCACATGAGTTTTGCACTTAATGTGAATCGTGTAATTTAAATTAGAAAGTATTATATATTTTTTGTCACTATCTGCAGTAAAAACAAATAAAAGACTTTGTATATATATATAGTACTGTAATTTATAAACTCTGGTCATCTGTTCAGCTTGAAAGCAATAAATAGATAAAAATTGAACACTTAAAAAAAGTCTAGAAAAATGGTGAATCAAATGAAATGCCAAGTATAGTATTTTAATTACAGTATGTACATCCAACTAATAAAGAGGCATGATTAGATTTGAGCTTAATAAGATTATTTGTATTTATATTTATACTGTGCAGCACTGAAAAAAAGGTGAAAAATTACTTGTTGAACCTTTCCTTCTCTCTCATCCCTCATTTTCCTACCTTCATATTCATATTCTCTCATTCTCTCTCTCATTCTCATTCTCTCTCTCTCATTCTCTCTCTCTCTCTCACTCTCATTCTCTCTCACTCTCATTCTCTCTCTCTCATTCTCTCTCTCTCTCATTCTCTCTCTCTCTCATTCTCTCTCTCTCTCATTCTCTCTCTCTCTCTCTCATTCTCTCTCTCTCTCATTCTCTCTCTCTCTCATTCTCTCTCTCTCTCATTCTCTCTCTCTCTCATTCTCTCTCTCTCTCTCTCTCATTCTCTCTCTCTCATTCTCTCTCATTCTCTCTCTCATTCTCTCTCTCATTCTCTCTCTCATTCTCTCTCTCTCTACAATTATTACCCCTCTCACACCCTACCTATCTCTCTACCCCTTTCCCCTCCCACTCATTTCTTCTCCCCCCTCCTTCCCCTATAGTCTCTTCTGCTCTCTAAGATACTGATATACATGTACAGTTTTTGATATGTTGTAATGGATACATTGCAGCATCACAAGCTTACTCTTCTTGAGTAAATACATTGCAACCAAGCAATTTAAGAAACCAATCTTGTTTTTATCACTATCTATTAATCATTAACTTACTACCAACATTATGAGTCAAGGAGGAATTTGCTAGGAAAAGTATAGAACTGTATTATCAAGTTATTCCAGGTTAAATTTACACACACAGTATCACTAATGTATGCCTATAACATTATTTGTGTCTCCTCAGAACCACTGTACAAATTTATACTGTATTATTGTAAAATAATTTCTCTATCACCTGAATAAGTATAAATTAATACATATTACAGAACTTAGTTATATCAGGATCACTTAGCTACAACATTAAAGAATATGCCATTACAGTATTATAGTTATTATTCACATTCTCATCACGAGAAGGCAATTCATGGGTTATTTAAGTTACATTTCATAACATATCAGCCATGTAAAAGCATATTCTCCATGGTGAAGTGGAACAGAATTCTTCCTCCGTAAGCCATGAGTGTTGTAAG